GAAGTTTCGCAGCTGTTTGGAGGTGACATGAATTCCAAAGGTCTTCTCCAGTCAGGCTGCGACTGGAGATGACTTCATATTTTGGTGTACATGAAGGTGATGGGCGAGAGCCAGCTCCTGCTTATCGAGGAACATCTTGGGTATCTTCCGCCCTGGTACTCGTATCCACGTCCTCTGTCTGGGCTGCGAAAACTTTGCTGATATGTGACTCGGTCGAAGTGACTTTTTTTGCCCCCCCCCCTGTATACCTATCCTTCCCTAGTCGCTGACGCTGCCGGACGCTCGGAGCCCTAGTGGACAATGATAGACGCTGCTGTTCGCTGGTGAGTGCTGCCTTAATGGTTTCCTTCGACAACCGGTACATTCACCATCCATGGTCCGGACTACACAGCGGATTCACGGTTTCATTTACAATTAAGAGTCATTTTTCAGAGCGTCAATTCTAGAAGTACTGATCAGAAGTCTGCGATCGAAACAATCATAAGGCGTGTCTGGGTATATTTCTGACGCAATTTTCGTTCACCTACGAGAGTCAATAATTGGCAAACTTTCGCAGCACTTTTCAGACGAGCGATAATCTTGAGATGAATCTTACATTCTACAAAGCTATACTGCACGCAAATCTATGTGAAACAGTCGTTTATAACAGTTATTGAATAAAGTGTAAGACTTTTGGTGGTGTATTACACGGCAGTGCCCTGGAGGATAGTATTATATTTCTTGACATTGGGGATCTGTTCGGCTTGAGAGTGGCATTTTGCTCTTTTGCTAGTTTCTTTTGCTAGTTCGTTATAACTACACGTGAAATCGTGTGAAACTGCTGAGTCACTTTGCTTACAAGAATCCACAGGGCTTCACAATCTGATCTGTAGAGACCTCGCTGAGTTTGCTGCCCCCACAAGGCGAACTACACTTCGAGAATGTGGTAACTAATGCAATAATGAACAACAAAAAGCAGAAAAAAACCCTGAATGCCCCATATAGAAACTCACGCTGTGCAGGTGTAGGTGCTTCAAGGAAAGGGCGTGGTCGGACGTGTTCCCACTTGTTGCTGCCAGCTTTTTTTCCTTGTCACCTCATTCAAAACGGAAAGAGCTTGTAGCAGAACAAACGCACCAGCAAGATGCTTAGAGAAATGGAAGTTGGGCGTTGCCATGACAGTGGGCGGTAGGCGCAGCTTCATCGTGGTGGGTCTTCAGGTACTTTTTAGCTGCGAAAGCAGTACATCTTCCGTGGTTGCGGACAGGACCACCATTTCCAATTACCATCGGACGGATCAGGCCCCTTCAAAGGGGACCGTGCAAGAGAACCATAATTTACCGCGCCGTCGCGCGCGACGCACCGTCTAGCGATGAACGCGGTCAATTTTCAGTGAGGGCGATGGACTCGAGGGAATCCTTGCATATTTCCTTTTTTCCATGTTTCCGCGCATATTTCACGTGTTTGGCCATTCTACCGTCGTCTATTGCTGGCATAGCTGACGAGAGAGTACCCTCCGTTTCCCGTCAATATTCAAATTTGAAAGGCTAAGCAGGAGAATTGGTTTCCCGCTGAACAGACAAACAAGTGAAAGTGCAAAGTGCCTCTCCCAAGCCGAACAGCATCTAAAATGAGACTGGATGATAAGCATAACCGCTGGTTCGGCAAACTTAAGAGCCACGGAACAAGACTGGACCATCAGCATCAGAGAGCGCAAGGCTGAAAGTGATGCTCATTAGGACAACCTTCATCTGAACAAAAATTCCAAGGAATGACTCACAATAATTCGTATCAGAAAATATAGTGTATGAGTAGCACAGCTAGATGATCGCAAGTTGCATGAAGTGAAGGCAGTGACGAGGAAATAGTTCATTACATCGATTCCCCACCAGGATCATCGATACCTTCTCATTATCGTTTTACCGTAATTTACTACATCCTTATTGGTGCGCTATTATCGTAGCACCTCATTTAGCGATGACTCATCTGTAACCTCAATTAATGGCGATCGATAGGCTTCTCGGGCTGAGTCATCAGGTTTCTTTATGCCAACAGCCTTTATCTGGACTGTACATCAGGAAACATTGAAGCTCGGCTCCGCCCCCTTCCGGCTCACTTCTGCAGACGCTGACCTCATCTGCCAGCGACCTCTTAACCTTTCATCCATTCGATCTCACTTATCCAGCAATCACTCACAACTTGTCAGCTCACATATCTTAAACTTGTATATGTCTATATATAAAGAATAAAGTTTAATTACCCAAGTTTGAGGCTTATCTCCGAGCTGTCAAAAGACCCGCGTGGCAACAAGAAATGTGCGAGCCTCCACACCCTAGGATACGAATAAGATGCCAGTGAACACCGTCCGACGGCCGTTTCCGATGAGGAATATATATTAAAAGTACTACTTCACTTCTATCCTTGTTTTCGGTTGATAACTTTTCCTGATTTTTCGCATTGCTCTGGCACTATACACTCCCTCAAACTCGAGTGGTTTTTAAGGGGTTCTGAAAAGCTCCGAAAAAGTAGGAGGAAGTTTGGAAAGCTCGACAAGGTGGCAGGCAGTATCGCGAGACAGGCAACTAGGGCCGGGGGGCGGGTCCTAGAGCAGGACTCCGCCTAATCAGGAGAGACTATGTGCCTGCTGACTCAGTCCGCAACCTTCTTTCTAGAAGGATCTCTGTTATGAAGCTAGCTCTCAGCGGTCTCATTTTTTCAAATATTCGTCCACGCTAGACCCTTAACAGGGTTTAAGGTTTTTCTAGAGCCTTTGTACGGGTTCAGGGTCAGGGGACAATTTTGTTGACTCATCTCCTCTGTTAAGTTTATTACATGGGAAGTCTAATAAAAGGATAAAGCCGGCGCAGTTCGGCGATGGAGGGGGTGGGGGGATTCATTTTCTTCCCATCGATGTGTCGACCTCTAGATAGCCTTTTCCTGAATTGACACGCCTTGTCATGGTAGCTAGACGAGCTTGCTCAGCTTCACAAGAGTTCAAAAGTTTCACCAGAGTGGGACTTGTAAATGTCGGAAGTGACAAAACAGTGGAAGGGCTAAATACCCTCCCCCGTAGCCGAACAGCACTTACAAAGTCTATGCCGGTGACCAACCCCTGTTTGCGATGCGGGTACGCATTCTGTTTCCATGAGAATCGTAGTGGCTTGTTGACTGCGATGTGGCTTATAAACTACGGGGACAGTCTAAGCTGTTATCCCAGAAGAATCTGGTTCCAGTTCACCGTTCTTGGAGGTCAGGAGGTTTGGCTCCTCTGGCCTGGACAAGACCACCCACGTGGTTAGCGTGTCATTTGCCAGTACATCACCTCCGCCTCAAGTCAACTAATATCCTCACTTCTTGTTTTATACAGACCACGGAGCCCATGAATTGAAATTTGCGGAATGTGCCTTTGAAGATCACGCTGTATTCTATGACGCACTTCAACGTTTACACCTACCGTCAAAGCCAAAGCCTCCTGATTTGTGATCCTTTACTATAGTGTTTACTTCCAACATTCCTTCTTCCTTTTTGCACTGCAGTGGGTGTTTCCTTCAGGAAACAAAGTACGTGAACCGTGAGCGGGTGAAAAATACACTTGTTCACAAGTTTCATTATCACAAAGACATAATTGGCATGACAGTTGTTTTGTATAAAAAAGCGGTGCCCAAACAGACTGGGATCACGCGAAGTACCCAGGTTCCTTCATTTCACGAAAGCCTTATCACTATGGCCATTTCTGCAATAGCATGCGAGATAGTACAGGTGCAGAACTTTGCTCTGTTCAGAGAAGTGTTCAGGAGAACTGACAAGGAGATGACCTCGATAATCTGGGACTCTTCCCTTGTAAGTGCAGCCATGTCACAGTCAATCAAAATAAGTCAATTAACTGTGTTTTCACACTCACATTTTGTTACAGACATTGGGCGAGACCTCCACAATTCAGAATTCATGTGTGCTGTCTAGCGCATAATGTGCAGCGCTGGTCTTTCACGCGGGTCGCTGGAAATCACAAATGGTGTGGATATTGGGGGGGGGGGCGAACGTAGAGTGTGGTTACTGGACAAACACCATACACAGGATCTGTTGATGTGTCAAGCGGCGCTGCATGTCAGGCGCGCAAGGAGGCTGTCAGCTGTCGTGTCCGCTTCGATCCAGGTTATCCAATCCCTGTATAACGCCGATGTCGACCATGTCGCGTCATAAGCACCTGAACTCGCATCTTACCTGACGAGACACGTGACGCTAAGACTAACAACTAAGGACTGCTGCGGTAGTCATGCGCAAGTGGTTGTAATTTACCAATGCAAAAAGAGGGTGTGGGGCGTCTCTCCCCTTGTCTTCGCCAACTGCTTGGGCTCACAATGAAAAAACGAGTTCAGAATGCATGTGTATATTTTGAATAGATGAGCTTGTGAACCTACAACATTTTCGGCGATTCTTCGAAGGATTCTCTTTCATTGGGGACCACCCGCGTGACATACAAGAAGGATCACTTTCTAGGTAAGTGGGTAGTGAGTTTTCGAGGGGCTGACTTTAGTTTCGGGAGACTTTATTTGTAAAATCCAAAAATTTATGCCAAAAGTGAACGCTATATCAGTAACTCATGTCTTCAGGATCTATGGGATGTTGGGTTTCGTTCGGATATCCTGCTTAGAGATCGCTAAATAGGGATGAACAAGTAAGCACTTCACTCGCTGTTCTTAACTTCTCTCCTTCTCAATCTTATCTTTCGGTAACATCATTGGCGACATGCAACAATTTAGCTGGCGATTGTGAGCCAATTCTTCAACGACATAACAAATCCATCATGAAGTTACAGATTCACCGGACTATGACACATGAAGAAAAGTTTATTAGCAAAGATCCATATATAATAGTTTCAAGCTAATTACTGCCCTGTCTGTTACTATCATCATATTGCTTCTCAGTTAATGATGAACGTTCAGCAATTTTATCAACATTGAGGTACATGTTTTCAACGGTTCTGAGACATATATTACATGGGAAACGACGAGATAATTCAATCAGAACAGCCCTCCTTCGTGAAGCCGCAAGATACACATATTTTCCCTGCTAAAACAAGCCATACGACCAATGACAACGATACTAAACTGTACAAGATCATTGTGAAGTCGCTCAGAGAAAATCCAAGCAACATAGAGAGTATCAGCCGTATAGGGTCGAAGATCAGGGCAAAACGACTGAAATGTTAAGGTAAGAGGCATGACACTTGAAGATCACTCATCCTGTTGGCTAACTTGAAAAACGGCTCACCTGTGGTTGAAATAATATCCAAACATTTGTATAAATGGTGTAAATAAATAAATAAATAAATATATGGCACACCTTATGGTGTAAATAAATAAATAAATAAATAAATAAATAAAGAAAACTATGAAGCCAAATCTACAAATGAACTCAGGCCAGTCGAGGAATATACGGATTTCATCGAATTGTGTAAAACATGACATAAGAAGCGCCCATTGTACGAAGGAGGTAGTAGCGAAGGGCATTTGACAGCGGAGGATTAAAGCGAACAGTAGGAGATGGCTCAATCTAAGCGAATATTGTCCTGATATCATTGTCTGTAAACCATTGATCATAACCAAAAAATGATCATCCCGAGTACCCTTCCAGCGGTAACTGCTGCGACCTTATGTGCAAGTGATGAAGCTCTCTAATTGACTTATTGTCAGTTTTGCCAACGTAAAGCACCAATGGACAAAACCACCTTAGGTATTCCTTCAGTGTGATCCTTCATAGATCGCCAAAAGAAGAACTGCTTTGTTCTCATTCCGGGGAAATATGCTGGCGGCCAGAAAGTTGCTTTCACCTACAAACATTACTAATATATTGTACTGCGTACATTGCAATGAGAGAATAATGGTCTCATAGGGAATTTTTCAAGTCTCCTGAACGGAATTCTCACTTTGTTCAATACACCCGGAAAAAGCTCCTCGTTTTTCTCGTTTCGCATCCGACCTTTGTCGTAACCAAGCGTCTTGAACGGGAACAACTGAAAACTGCTGTTTACTACTCTCGCCATGTTTCGCCATAATTTTTGCTCGGCTAGAAAGTATCCGTTGTTTTGAGCGAATGGCACTGATGCTCTTCTTTCTTGAGTAAGGACTGCCACACCCTAAAAATTTTTCGGCTACCGTTTCGCGAGCTAACATATTATCGTCTACGATCAAGTCTTTTTACTGATTATTACTTCGGGAAAACGGTGAGTATTCCACGCTGCTGGTCTCCGGCTATACTCGAGTTATGGCCTTCTTAATTCAGTGCCTTGTACCCAAAAAAAACCATTACGCGACTAATCCTTGATCGAGTGAGTTCCGCAGCTAACGGGCCGTCAATTCTTCTCGTTACTTATTCCACAATCCTCTTCGCAGTATTGTTTATGGTAGTAGCGAACATATGTCCGATCGCACGACATTATCAGAAGCAGAAATGTCGATCTTTCTTGCTTCACTGCGACAATGAATTATTTACTTTTGTGAGAACCCTCATGTTTTTTTTTCAGGCCATAAGCATTTGGCCGTCGAGAAAATTAATTTCTTCTCTATTTAAGCCGTTAAGAACAAAAAGCCCTACCTATGTTCTTCTGTGATCGAATTTCTAGGTGACTTGATTTATGAATTGAGGTGCCTTTGTTTATTGGTTCGAATCCATTTAATCCCCTACACAGTAGCTCTTTTTCGATTGAGTGCACTAATGATTCAATTGACATTTTTTGAAACAATTATGGACATTCTTTTCAGAGTAATCCTCAATTCATGCATTATGGTTCTCTCCTATGCATTATGGTTCTTTTTGATACTTGGACAGCCAAAAGTTTGGATCGTCAATAGTAGAACTGGGCGAGTCGAGTTTTAGCCCAACAGTTTTTAGCAGCCTTTACTACGTCAGATACACAATAGCTGCATGAGTCAGACAGAGCAAGAACGTAAGCTGGAGACCAAAATTAGCCAACAAGGAAAATTCAAGGAAAAGTAATTAATAGAAAAATTCTCAGAAGTTTTGAACTGTTATTCCAGAAACCTTAGTCTTGACTTTGAGAAAAGTACCCTGAGGCAGTCCCTTTCGAAGGTAACGCACTATTTGGTAATGTCGTTCAAAAACAATGTGTGAGGCTTAGTGGTTACAGTGAAGATAATGGAAAAAGGCAGAGGAACGAAGTCAGATAGTGAAAACAGCTTGCGAAAACTTTCTTACCGAAGAAATAGTAGTAAGAAAATTCAACGAACTATTGTGCAAATTACACTGTTGGCGACTTCGGAGCTGGGATCAAAACGCGTTCTATGTATCTTGAAAAGCACAATTACAGTACATATAGGGTCCTTTTCGGGGAAGGTGTATAAAAAGCAGAGGAGAGGAAAGACTCTCAGAAGGAGCAGCAAGGTGAGCTGGGTGAGGTAGAGGCTGCAGGTTCTTCCCTGCAAGTGTAGCAGTCATGGACAGGACCGCAGCTTTATCGCGATTCCATTCCATGGCTGCCGTCATCGTACTGCATCCAACTCCAGCTTGCAAGGTTAAACGATGTGCCACAGGGCGCACGGATCAGTCAGCATGCAACAGTCTGCGGCTAATGAAAATTAGGTAGCCAAGAGGGTTCTTCGGGAGGGTCTATACTACTTGAGCAAGGAATGGCCGGGGAAGCCGGGGAAGGGTCCCACCTTTTACGAAAAATTTTTTGTAGTCAACCCCTTCTTCCGCGTACTTTGCTCAAAAGCATTACCCACAACACTCTTCTTCTGCAAGTAACTTCACGCAGAGATGCTCGTTTTTTTGGTGAAGGTGCCTGCTGCCAATGTCTTTCTACAGTCCACGGGAAACTTCATTCCAAAAACGGGAATCAGCTTCAGTTCCCACCGATAGCACTCTCGAACGAAGGAAACTGTTTTGCAGATTGAACATGCCTGAAAATTTGCAAGCGAGAAGCCACCTTGCAATATGTTCACAGTGGTACACGTAATGGAGAATTAGAAGTTTCTAAGAAATTTTCACGCATCCTTTGCCTAGGTTATACATTCGTAGTGATGACGATCTTTGGACCTAAATGTGTATGGTAATCTTTCACTTCTCTGAGCCTGAGTGCATGGTTTCTAGAACCCGTTCTCATGCTCCAGTTTCACTTCGATAATTTCCTACTGTTCGAAATCGTGCATCTTCCACCAAAAAAGCGGTAGTATGGATATGGCTATAGAGAGGCAAAAATAGCATATCAAAATAGCAAGGTCCATAAGAGTGCTACATTTGCTTGGTTTTTTTTTATTTTGTGAGTTTTGGAAACTGCTTTTGGAAATGCACCTAGTCCAACTGTGTACCAAGGGTTGTGCTTGTGAAACGACGGGACTTTCTCAACCGACCTAGTGAAGGAAGAAATCTGTACTAACGTGAAGCCACAGCTGATCAAACGATTTTACTGGCGTGACCAAACCGTACACAACTGCATCATCCTTTCTTTCAGGTTCGTAGGTGCCGAAAAGCCTGAAAACAGTTGAATTTCCGCTGTTTACAGAGAGTGGTGTCGCGAGTCGACGTAAAACGCGTCACGTATTTTTCTCGTGCCTGGATCTGAATTAGCTTCACATACGTTTGAAGGCTCAGTGAGCTAAGTAAGATAGTCGTTAGCGCAAATCAGTATCAACGCTTGTGCTAGGGTAGCCGAGGTCCAGAACTACATGCGAGATTTCGGTGCGTCTCTTCTTTCGCTGTTCAATACTGAAGATTTTTCACGAAAGTACAATAAGCGGAATCACAAATGTTCACACGTGATGTTGTAAAGTATGTTATGATATGACCAAAGGGCAAGTCATCTGAGCACTCAAACCCTTCGAGTATATCTCGCATACTTTCTGCAAGGAATGGATGAGTGAACTGTTTGGTGATGGCTCTCTTGAGGTTCTTCGTCTTTCTCTCCCCTGGCAAGCCGCTTGGCATCCGCTCTTCCTCTTTTGGTGCAATACTCTATGTGGGCCGTCATGGAAAGACTTTCGAGCATTAGGAGAAAGTTATGGATAATTGGAGCCAAACAGTGTCTCGGAAACTCTATAAGAGGCAGGATATGCTATACCCTTGCGAGCGTCAACATCAAAAACTGATTGCTCTTCCTGCGCTCGACTCTTTACTTTTCCCACTACTGCCGCTCAACACAGGTATGCACGCATTTTGAGCCAATTAACGAAGGAGCATAGTGGAACAAGTGCAGGGATGTCATACATATGGGAAACACTTCACCTGTCCCAAATAATCAAGACAGCTCCATAGTTCCTGTCGATGCAGTAAGGGTTTCTGCCATGATGAACTCGGTGGCTAGACGGAGTGTTGAGGAAGTACTCAAGTGGACCGAGGTAGGGAACTGCCTGAAGCGCGATTATTAGGCTCACAATTCTGATCGCTCTTTCAGTCAATTATAATCTGCATTGAAGAGGCTTCAGTTCTGATATTTTAGCAGTGAGTAGGATTTTATATGGGATTTGAGCAAACTACCGGAGTTGGTTGCCGTCAAAAAGTAGACACTTTCTGAAATGAGTATTGATTGGCTTGGCTCTATGAGCGAAAACTAAAAACAAAATAACAAAGAAGGCGAGAGGTGTATAGCGCGCATGAGACGGAGAATCAACAACCAAAGCACCTTTGCAACACTTTCTCTAGCGAGTTATTGTGATTATTACTTACGTTCGAGTGAAGCCAGAATGGAAAGATAATGTTTAGATATTTGTGAGCGATGAATATATTTGGTGGAATGGCGAGAGCTTGTAGCATGTCGAAAAACAGCATAAAAACATCCTAAATGGCTAGGAGTTAGGGTGAGAGCGGTGAAGCCGGATTTTTTTGAAATTTCTGGTCGATTCATGTGGCTATAACAACCCCTATAACACCTCGCCCTATAACATGGATAGGGTCAACCCCAACACACGAAATGACGACAGACGGGTCGATGCATAAGTTTTTTGTCAGGGGAGCGTTTTATGGTTACTTGGAAAATGGTATCTTTTATCAAACCCTGCTGTATAGGCAGGACTCGTGTGACCGATCTCACACGTCTGTGTTGTAGGTGTTAGGTCTGTGGGGTACACGATCTCTAAGTTTCACGACTCCTTCTAAATGATGATAATGTCGATGGGTGGTCACATTCGATTTGAAGTTTCTTCAATATCACGCTTGCGCGCATTTCTCTTCGTCGTGCTTCAGAAAACTCATTCGTTGAATTTTTCTCAATCAACTGGTGCACCATGTTCGCCAATTTCATTTTTTTGACCTCTTATTCGTGTTAATGTGTCAACCGTTACTTCACTGAACAGAAAGCACAGCAGCGACTGCCTTGCTGTTCAAGCGATATCCATGAACCGGCGAAGTTCAGATCTGAATCAGCTCACGTACAATGTTTTTGTCACATTGCCTGAGGATTCCGAGGTTAAGGGAGCTATCGGATGCTGTGCAGATTAACCCGCTTTTTTTACGAAATCCCGGATTGTTCAGCGAGTACTCACTCGAAGTCATCGGAAACTTATGCCTCGACTTCATCGCTCATTTCACATTAGGAGAGAAAATTTCTCGGTATTCAACGTCTGAAGACCACATTTAAACGTACTACTTATTCATGTGAAAATAAGTGGGTCATCAGAATTTTTTCAATAGTACTAAAAAACCTGATTTATTGACAAACGAAGAGCGGTGCTAAGATTGTAGTACTCAGAGGAATGATGAATCTCATGAACGGACCAGAGCACACCAGCTTCTGAAGAAGATTAATTATTACAGATAGGACGCACCAAATCTGACGCGCAAAACCTCAGATTGTTTGACTTTTTTTAGTTTTTAACTAGATATTCACCGAGTTGGTTATGAGGCCGCGGAACAGTACATCCACTATCACTGGCTCAGGTGATAGTTCACACCAATGTAGTTCACACCAACTTCAGCGTTCGGTATGATTATCTCTCATCATCAACAAACGTGAAGGTTTAATTGCACAAGCTTGACGCGCGCAGGACCAGAATTAAATCCTTTTCGAGGAACAAAAGTTTACTAAGACTGAGGGTCTTATTCCTTAGTTAGACAATTTCCTTTACTTTCTCAAATAAAAGAGCAGCGCGGAGCTCGTGGTTATCGATTACATTTTCAAATAGAGGAATTGGGCAGCATGTGCTACGACAAGACCCTTTTGTCGGTCTGCTCCCTGGATCCAGGTATATAGACATTTCACAATGACTAGAGGTGAAAAACACCAGACTATTTCCTAGGGAAATACTTGTACTGTATGTTGGCATCGCTTTGGAGGTGTCTGTTCATTGTTACTTACTCATCCTTCTTGCTGCTCCATAGATCGGAACCAATCCATGCCAGTTCGTAATCCGTAATCTAATATATCTCTAGGAATCGAAGATGATTGCGCGGCTAGCGGTAAACCCGTATAAAAGGGTTCACCCTCATCAGTGCCATTCCATGTTCCGCTGGCAAAACCCCTTTTTTGCTTTGTACCTCAACCGACCAATAGTGTGACCTCGAGACTGCATATATCAGACGTCGATTGACACACTTGCTGCAAAACCGCGGGACAGATTCTTCTGAATTTTTGCATGTCAATAACTACATACGGACAGTACTCCGCCATCGATTTTCTCCTATCAGCTTACCGTGTACTGCACGATGACCGAGATAATAGGCGAGATCTTGCGTGAAGAAGCAGAGTATCCATGTAGAAACCGAATCCTTTGGAAGGTCTATGATATGCACTGCACTGTACAGCATAGGATAACATGCAGCCGCAACATGATGTTTACCAAATCTGAATTGTATTGGGATTTGCTTGATAGTGTCCAGACCAACAGTGGAAAGGTAAACGAGCATTTCGTTAGAAGCCTCACTTGTTAATGAAGTGCCTGATTCAGGTTTGCAGTGAGAATAGTCCTACTATATATAATCCGCTAAGTTTGTCTGTTGGTGTGTGTGT